GGTTGATGTCCACAAGAGCAACGAGCTCGCGTGTTTGAGTACGCCTAGTTTCGTGGAGAGTCTCAAATAGCTTCTTTTAGCTCATCGACTTTAGCTTGAAGAGCAACCCTCTTTCCTTCCTTTTTTCGTTGCTTCGCACTAGGTGTAAGATGGGTGTCATTCTGTGTGTTGTGGCTTCCTTCGCTCTCCATGTTGGAGAGGGATGCCTGGTCAAAAGAGAGTGTACGAATGGTGGAAATCAGCTTGGCAAAGCTGAAGATAGTGGGAATAAGTGTCGTTCCCACAGACGGCGCCAAATGTTGATACACAAAATCAGCGAGGACTTTGGTACAACAGAAAGTGTTAAGTTTGTGACATTCGCTAGATTGCTCCGGTCACTAATGTGGATAAGTAAGTAAGTGGATAGAGACAGGGAAACCAGCACAAGATGTACGGGGTTCACCCAGATTGGCTACGTCTACGGAGTAGATGAGTTCTCATTAATTGTGAAGGGTTTACACAAGTACATAGGTTCAAGCTCTCCTTTAGTGAGTATTAGTGAATGATTTAGTACAAATGACATTCGAAAATATTGTGAGAGAATGATCTTTATTTATAGAAGAAAGTTTCTAATTTCATTCTGACATTAACACGTGTCGTGTTGTGATTGGCTTCTGATGTTGACACGTGTCGCGCTATGATTGGCTTCTGATGTCGACACGTGTTTTGCTGTGATTGGCCTCCTGGTTTGAGGAAAACTCTTCTGGGTCTTTGACGGTATAACGTTGACCGGTGCTCAGTAGTTTCGGGATTGGTCAAGTATGGTACAAACAACATCAGTGTGGACATAGCCCAAACATTGGGGTGAACCACGATACATCTTGTGTTATTTACTTTCTTGCAAATTCATGGTCGGATTTACGTTGTTCCAAGACCCCTCCGATTTTGTGCATCAACAACCTGAATTAAGCTTTGGTTCGCCCACAACTCCAACTCCCGCAGCGCAGACTTGTCGTGGATTCGGTTTCCAGAGGTAAAACTCCATTTTCTTCTCCACCTATTTCGAGATATCTTTGGACCAACCTCTAATTTTTTTTATAATTGTTAATCAAAACTATTGTACTCTCTAATCCCAAATATATATATATTAAACGAAGTTAAATTAAACCTGTATTTGTTCATGCGAGATGTGGATGGATATGTGGAATTGTTTTGGGATTATAAGAACTGATAGGTTTTTAAGTGTTGGGTTCTTTTGTTTCAGATTATTTTGGAGTATCTCTCTCTTTAAACTGGCATATAAATAATTTAGTAATTAATTGTACTAATTTGTTTTTTTATAGATCTAATGCTTGTAATGTGTAATTCAAAAACACTTGAATAGACACTGGTGTTGGATTTGTTGCTATTTTGTTTAGTGATTTGTATCTTGTTATGCAATTTTTTTATTCGGGTATCTGAGATATTTTTTGTGTAGGTTACTTGATGCAGTCAGGTCATTTGGAGGCACCCCTGTACCAAGTCGTGTGACTTCTCAACTGATCTTTCTTCATTTGCTATGTGAGTATTATTCTTTTGTTTTATTGTTAGAATTTGCTCTAAGTTTTGTATTCGGGTTTTATACGGCTTTGCTTATGTGGATTTCAATTGATGCTGCTTGTGGATCAGTTTGTGGATCAATTTCAATATGTATGTGAATGACAAGATACAAATAATTTATGATGATTTGGTGTATTTGAATGCTGCTTTAGAAGATGTATTTGAATGCATGATGATTTGGTGTTCAAATAATTTAGTATTCGGTACCGTAAACTGGCAAGAACTGAATCAAAATCGATGTAGACCGAACCGCACCGTTCTAGTAATAAATTTAAGTGAAACCACACCAAACCAAACCGTTGATATTTTAAGGTTCTGATTTCGGTTTAGGGGTGGAACCGCACCGTGCCCACCCCTAAGCGCACTCTTATATTTAGGCACTTTTAGGTTTAAATTTATTCACATTTTCCACATCACTACACTTTATGGCTTCGTCACCCTCTTAGTATCGGCCAGCACAGCTCAAGTCGGAGTCTAGATGGACATTCCGAGTCGGGGTCGATTGTAAAAGTTAAATAATATTAAAATAATATTATTGGATCGAAAATATAGCCTCCAAAATATTTAGGCTCGTGTTGGGTGCCTTAAATAAAAGGTATTGGGCCTCGGGAGTGGGCTACAGGCCGCCGGGGGGGGGGGGGAGAAACCCCAGCAGCAGTTGGGTTTCAATTTTGCCCTAGGGGAGGGCACGGCACAAGGCCCAACAAAAGCTGGCTCGTGGGCTTGGCGCGGGAAGTCCAGCCGCATGGGCTGGCTGCAGGTAATGCGTGGAGTGGGCCGCAGGGACCAAGCCCAGCCTTGTGGGCTAGCGTGGAAAACACGTGTCGTGACACGAGCCAAGGTGCAGGCTGCGGGCCTAGGCAACACAAAACCCAGCAACCATAAAGGTTGTTGCATGCAGGGGGAAAACCTAGCCAATCTGGGTTGGTTAAATGGGGCGGGCCATGGTGCAAACGGGCAAAGGGCTTCAGGCCCATCAGATTGACCCTAGGCCAAGGCCTAGTTTCTGCATGCACAGTGATGGTGCGGTGGGTGTGCCGCACCATGTCTAATTTCCCATTTTTTCGAAATCCCTTAGGGTTGAGGAAACCCTAAATATGCTTCTAATTTAATTTTATACATTGACTCACATATTCCACATAACAATTTAATTGTGCGATGCATGAAACAAATATATGAACATATACAATATATATCGAAAATATAAACATAGAGGGGCTCATGCATCATGGGGAATGTTTTCATGCTTCGTGGACGTTTCAAATATCTTCTTTTATTTAAGCGTACTTGATTAGCAGAAAACAAAAATAAGCCTTTGAATTTTGTGGAAGATAGCCTCCTCCTACGATGCGTCAATTCCTCAGCTTCTGGCAAGAGCGTGCTGATAACGTGTTGTAAGCCTATTTGATTGAACGATCTAGGATTTAGAGAGAGAGAAGGGGCCGACAATATTGAGGGAGAAGAGAGAGTGATTTAATTGTGAGGTGTATTTGATTCATCCCATTGTACCTTTATTTATAGTAGTAAGATAGGTAAAAACCTTTCCTTTTAGGATTACAATATTTAATAGGTAATATACTCCTAATAGGAATATAAGATACATTTTCATATGTACTAGGATTTACACAATCACATTCCTATTCTAAATATGACTGCAACAATATCAATGATTTTCAAAAGTTTATGCTATTATTAAAGAACAATCATATGTTTTTCTGTGCAATAATTTTTTCATTAAGTTACATTAGAAGCATAGCGGGTTTGATACATTGTCCGCTAAAACTTTATAACTTAAGCAATCATTGAGAGTTGTTTAGGGCCTGTTTGGTATCCTACCCAAAAACTTTGGTTGTTCCTAAAAATAATTTTCAAATAACATCACTTAAAAACAGTATTCTTTTTTAGTCTCAAAATTTCAAAAATCTGTTTGGTTTAATTTTTAAAAATAATGTTTTTAGTTTGAATTCAAACTTCCTTGAACAAAAATTAGAGGAAAGAAAGAATTGGGAAAGAGAAAAGAGAGAGGAAATAGTTGGTGAGGGGAGAGAAAGACAGGGAAAGGACGAGGAGGATAGGGAGAGCAAAAAATTATGGTGAGGAGATGACGTGTGAGAAGAAAGAGTATAATGAGAGAGAGACAAGACAAAGGATGAGGAGAGAGAAAAAACAAGGTGTGATGTGGGGAGAGAAAAAAGAGAGGGTTGAGAGAGAAAAAAAAAAGGGTTACGAATGAGCAAAAGAAGATGTTGAAGAGAAAGTAGAAAAATTTTAAAAACTCATTTTTAGTGTTTTTAAGAAATAGCTTATATTTTTAAGTAATAGTTTATGTTTTTAAGTTAGTTTATTTTAAAAGAGTTCTACCAAACAAGAATTCAAAATCTAAAACTCAAAAAGTGTTTTTGAGTTAAAAAAATTGAACTCAAGCAGAATACAAAACAAGCCTTTATTTTTCTATTGTTTTTCTTTGGTACTTATGATGCTTTAATAACGCATGAAGCACACTAAAAATCTTGACCAACAGTAAAAAAAAACACTAAAAATCAACCATATATAAATTAAGACCATATCTGCAATAATATATTATTTAAGATTATTATTAAAAAATAATATATGCAAGGGCCACCTGTGTTGAATATGTTCTTGGTTGTTAGAACGTTATGACAAAAAAATGGGCGAAGAATTAAGAAAAGAAGGCGACTGGAAACCACATTTTGTCAAGATGTAATTCAAGTCAAAAGCTTTCGTGTGGCGTTGGGGCGGGGGGCTCTCAATGTTTTGAGTCCTTCCTTTCCTTTCAGAAAAGCAGATGAACAGTATTTTCGGTGCCAATTTAAGTGACATCCAATCATCCATAATATTGGTTGGCATGAGGTCCATATACGTATGCATTGTACAAGTCTTGTTTTGGATGGGTTTTTAATCCAGACGATGTGATCATAAAAAGCTACGTATAAACGATGGATTCTTGAGCAGGGCTGTCGCACAAGAAGGCTCTTTAGAAGTAAATGGGGGTGCAATTTAGGTATAGGAAGCTTTTAAGGGAAGTGATTTTTTAATTTTTTTTATAAAAATAGAGATTAGTTATTGGTTCAATTTTACATTGAATTTTAACGATTCAGACCGTTTATTTTTTAAGTTGCACCTCATAGATCATCCTTGCAAAATATTAGCCAAATCGAAAATATTTGAGGCATCTAACTGAATTCAAAGAAATTGACAAATATTTTGTTCTCAAAGAAACAAGGAAATTTTCAACATGACAATTAAATAGGTCAATAGTTTCGGATTAAATTGAATTTTACAAGAATAATCTATGAATCAAGACTTACTAAATAGAGGTTCCAATTAGGGGTGGGCAAACGGGTGGACTCGCAAGTCCATGCGGTTTGGGACGGGTCCAAAAATTATAAATACTAAACGGGACGGGCCGGTTCTAAAAGTTGGAGAAAACGGGACCCCGACCCAGACCATTCATTGCTCTACCCTGTATCACAGTATCACCCTCTCTCTTATTCTCAGACCCAATTCACAACTATCCCGTCACCCTCTCTCTCTATCCCGACTTCTCCGATACCACTCCGAGTCTCCTCCCTCGATCTCTCCTCCCTGTGGGTTTCTGATTTTGCTTTCGGATCCGTCGATTCTCATCTCTCTCTCTCTCTCTTTCTCTCTCCCCCCCCCCAAACCTTCTTCTTCTTCAAGTTCTTAATCCCAGTTAGGTTTTCCACAAATCATGCATCGGCAACCCAATCGACGATGGCTGGCGCTACGAGGACTGGAGCAACAATCACCAAAAGCTTGCCGATTACGGCATCGGGTTCAACATGGACGTCATGGGAGGTAAAGGGGGCATGATCCACATAGTTACTGACTCTGTTGAGCATTCTCCCTATTCGTAGCATTTTGTGACATCGGATTATCCATTTCCGAAGCAATTGATTCTGTTGCAGCTACTCACCTGAACTCCATTAATTCCAGATTGTTAATGATCTGGTTAGTCATCAAATTCAAGTGCAGCGCAATATCAAGATTGACCAGCTGAAATAAGGAGATGGTATTAGCAATATCTTTAGCTACATCCTGCATCTGCAAGAGCATTGAGTGTGATTTAAGCAAGAGACGGAGGCATGGCCTTGGCAAAGAGAGGCGGAGATGTCGAGGAAGGTTGCCGTTTCAGAAAAAAAAAAAAAAAAGTTCCCGTGTACCCGAACCAAATCGGCTTGTTTCGAACGAGCCGATTTAGGTCCGGTTTCTATTTTAAGATCTGTTATATCCGACCCGGCCCGACCGTTTCTTTTAATCCGGGTCCAGTCCGATTCCTTCAAAATTAGGCATGGCCCGTGCCTAGCCCTAGTTCGAATTATTGAAATTTGACGTGGAGTGCTCCCTACAACTAGTCCCCATTTTTACCCAAAAATGACAATCATTTTGGGTAAAAGGCCTATTTAGGTATATATTAGTGTCACTTCATTGCGAGAGTTGTCTTATGCTTACGCATATGTAACTGTTTAGACCCAAAATTACTTTATCGGCCCATGCAATCAAGGTCGTTGGGTGGGCATAGCTCCCAACCGTCGGATGAAAAGTGAAGATAATTTTGCTATTATTGAAAGATATATTGTGGTTTTAATCATGGCACTATCTTTTAATATATTTTAGCCCTTCTCTGCATAGGATAATATTAAATAAGAATGGTTATATAATAACCAGTAGAAGAATTGCAATTCATTTGCAATTATTTAAGTCAGCACATGCATATACGTGGAAGGTTGGGAGACTATTTCCCATGTAATTATGTACCACAAGTTTGTGATGATTATCTCCAGAAAGCAACCAACCATAGCGGTGTATGTGGATTGGTGGTTATTTTGATGGGCATTATTTGATCAAATCCAAGCATGCAAGTTATCTTGGGATTTGATGTGATAAGGGTGAGCATAAGGATTGAATTTGGTTGCATTTTTTACTAAGTTCAGAGTCTTGGGGATAGTAAGGCTTATCTGACGCAATCAGTGGAAGAGTTCTAATACATGGCAGAAGCCTATATCAGCTTATCAACCAACACGCATATGTCCCTATAAATACAAAGGCAGTGGCAACAGAAAACCTCTCTAACTCAACACACAAACTGCTCTGCGCAAACTCTCGCTCTATGAGAAATCTCTTAAACATCTTGAGAATTTTATTTTCTTTTTCGTCAACACATCTTCAGTTTGGATAAACAACATTATGAAGGCAACCGGCGAACATCTTCAATTTGGATAAACAACACTGTTGTCGTAGAATCAGCCAACTGCGGAGCACCTTCAGTTTGGATAAACAGCACTACGTTGAGGCCGACTGATTATCTATCCAAGTCTCGGTCGAGAAGGATTTTCAAATCCTTATTGGTAGAGGTCATCGCATTAGCCATCTCGGCGAAGTGAGGTGTTACAAGTTACTACATTCGGCACATTGAAAGCCGAATTTGATACTGAACTTCGCAGAACTAGCAGCCTTGTCTTCAGGCTCTAGAACCCGAAGGTCGAGACGTGTTCTTTCCTTAGCTGCAATCATAAGATCAAGAAGTTAGCAGCGCACTCAACACAACATCAACTCATTTTACTCATCAGCCGAGCTCGGTCGTCAAGTTGGCACACCCCGCACACAACCGAATGACGTAGTTAGCTCATTAGTTACTCGGCCTATGCGCCATGTAGGCTTGGTAGTTTTTAGGGTCAACAGTAACATATGGTTGACTTAGTTGTAGTAAAATATGATTAAGTACATAATTTAAGTTGGGTAATACTGGAAGACTAAACTTTTAAACCAAATTTACAAATCAAATTATATGTCATCAATAAAAAATAAACACGTTAATTAACGCTTAAGTAATAATTTAATCATCAACGACCATATCATTTGGTTTGCAAATTTGATTTAAAAAATTTAGTTTCTCTAACATTATCTTTTAAGTTTACCGAATGTAAACTGGGGTTGGTAGGGTTGGCACCAAAACTACCAGTTTAGCCAAAGGCAGTACAAATTTATACAAAATCGTGTCGTTCAATCGCGGGCAATTTTCTCAAGAGCACAACTCCACCGTGGGGTCAAGCCAAATCTTCTGTAGAGGATTTTCAACCTTCACGGAGTCGATTGACCACCTTAACATATCGTTGATCTGCCAGTGGCTAGATTAATACACCACTTGCATTAATTTTGGCAAAGTGCAATTTTGAGGTACAGTTTAGATGGACATGGATCTCCTCCTGATCTATTGGTCCTAATCCACCAAATCCTATAATCCGAACCATTAAAATTTGATCAAACGGTTACAAACAGATGTTCACTTTAAAAATTATAATAACTTTAACCGTTAGATCAAATTTTAATGATCCGGATCACGAAATTTGGTGGAGTAGGACCAATGGATCCGCAGAGGATCCATGTCCAGTTTAGATCACAATTTGTGACCACATATTCAACTTTCAATAATGGTGGCATTGAATACAAATTAAATAATTGATATGAAATCTTTCGTTTTTCAGTTTCATAATTTAGTCAACTGATCTTTGAGTTTGGCATAACTCTTCACTTTAGTCTTTGAGATTTGAAATTAATAAAAGAGGCCTCTGAATTTGTCCACCACCAATCATTTTGATCAATCTGTAAAAAAATATATGTTAAATAAGGATCAAAAATGACAAAAACACTTTTAATTTTTGTCAAATCATTTTGACTCATTGTTTATTAAATTGTGGGTCTTTTTGTCATTTTAACCCTTATTTAACAAAAAATTAAATGAATGACCAAGATGGTTAAGAGTGGATAAACTCATGAACAACTTCTATCGATTTCAAATATCAGGGATCAAAGTAAGGAATTATATCAATCTTAGAAAGAATTTGGCTAAAAAGCTTTATTAAAATATCTGGATGGATTCCACATAGAGATAGCCTTCATGAAAAAGATAGAGACTTACATAGAATGGGAACCTTCTCTAATAAAAGCAACAAGCAAAAGTTTTCATGGAAAAGACAGAATTATATGGAATGGGAACGTCAAGAAGGAGGTGTCCTAAATGTATCATGCATCGCTGTGTGTTTTTGTTAATCCTATATGATGTCTTATGATTAATTTGGAACACCGATGACGTAAGCGATGTATATTCCTTTTGAATATACAAGAATCCAGTTTATTTATTTTACACTCTAAATCGGCACACAAAACATAAAGGAATTGGAAATGCATTAACATTAGCATTACAAAGGTTTTAGTAGTATTTTGCAAATTCCTCAAAATTCTTCGCACTCTTGCTAGTCTTTCTTATTAACACTACACTATGAATCTAAGAAGAAGAACAGAACAATCTTTAAGTAAAGCAGCAGAGAAAAGAAAGAGAGAACAAAAGATTGAATGATGATTTGTATATTTCAGAATGTATTGGAATACAAGTCTTAGAGAGAACCTTTCTATTTATACATGCTCATTTCTGTCTTAATCAGTTTCTAACAAACTCATAACCACCTTATATCTTCCTACAATCCCAACTAACTATCTAACTGACAGAATAACAACCTTGCTGATGTGGATTGCTGATGTGGTATATCATTCAACATCCCCCCTCAATCTCAACTGGGTTTCCTAGTTTGAGATTGAAAGAATGCTTGAGAAATAATGGACTGTGCAGCCCCTTTGTCAGAATATCAGCAGTGTGGTCTTCAGTGGACAAGTAGTGAACTTGGAGATCTCCCTGTTGAACTTTCTCCCGTACAAAGTGGTAATCAGTGTCTAAGTGCTTAATCCTGGAATGAAATACTGGATTTGCACTTATAGCAATAGCCGATTTGTTGTCACAATAGATCACAGGAGCAGAATTTAAAATGACAGCCATATCTTTGAGCACATTTCTGATCCATGCTATATCAGCAGCTGTATGAGCCAAGGCCTTATATTCAGCTTCGGTAGAACTACGGGACACAGAATCCTGTTTCTTCGATTGCCAAGAAACTGGATTGCATCCAATATAGACCACATAACCAGTAACAGATCTTCTGGTATTCAAATCCGCAGCCCAATCTGCATCACTGAATGCATGAATTCCCACTTCTGTATGAGCGGAGAATGTGATTCCATGATGCATAGTGCCTTTCAAAAACCGTAATATCCTTTTAACTGCCCCAAAATGGACCTCAGTTGGTTTAGCCATGAATTGACACACAGTGTTTACTGCATATGCAATATCTGGCCGTGTAAAGGTTAGATATTGCAGTGAACCAACAATACTGCGATATAAAGTAGGATCTGATAAAGGATCTCCTTCATTTAGAAGCAAAGGAGTATGAGGTTTGCATGGTGTTGATGCGGGTTTACAGGAGTCCATACCGGCCTTGTGAAGAAGATCTTTGACATACTTAGACTGATTAACCCCAATATCTCCATTGGATTTATAAGTGATCTGCAAACCAAGAAAATATGTCAATCTACCCATATCTTTTAGCTCAAATACCTCAGACAGTTCTGTGATTATCCTCTGAACTGTACTGGAATTGGAACCAGTAATAATAATGTCATCTACATAGAGAAGTAGAATGACCATGTCTTTTTCACACTGTTTGACAAATAAACTGGAATCTGATGTTGAAGCTTTAAATCCCATGGCAGGTAGATAGCTTGTAAACTTAGAGTTCCAAGCTCTTGGAGCCTGTTTAAGCCCATAGAGAGATTTAATCAGTTTGCAGACATGTGTTGGCTTAGTGACATCCACAAATCCCTGTGGTTGTTTCATGTATATATCTTCCTGCAATTCACCATGCAGGAATGCATTTTTAATATCAAGCTGGCGTAAGTCCCAATGGTTAATAGCAGCCAATGCTATGACAATTCGAACTGTGGTATGTCTCACAACTGGACTAAAGGTTTCGGAATAATCAACACCTTGCTCTTGGGAAAAACCTTGTGCCACCAACCGGGCTTTGTACCTTGAAACTGTGCCATCTGGATTCTTTTTGATTTTGTAGACCCATTTGCTGCCAATAATAGTCCTATCACTAGGAGGTGGAACCAATTCCCAAGTTCCTTGAGCCCGAAGAGAGTCATACTCGTCTTGCATAGCACTCTGCCACTGTGGCATTGTAGCAGCCTTTCTGAAAGTTGATGGTTCAGCATCATCACTATGAACAGCCAAAAAGGAAAAACCTCCACCAAAGTAAGTGTCTTCAGCCAATTGGAGTGACTGAAGTTCAGGAAATGTAGCTAAATAGCCCTTATAACTCCTCTGTGGTATTGTACCACTCTTCAACCTAGTGACCATTGGATGAACAGAAGCATTATTGGATTCACCAAGATTAGAAGATATAGGAGATGAAAAAGGTAAAATTACCTCAAGCTGTGTATCATTGTGGACAGGCAACATTTGTGGTATACCAATAGAGCTAGGAGTGATGAGAGAGGAATCTGGAAGTGATGAGATACCCTGTGACAGTGATAAAGATTCTGAACCGGATACTTCATTCAAGGAACCTGATCTGTCAGCAGAATGTGCACCATGATCGGATATAGAGAGAGACATATCCTGGACAGCCTCACCATTATTTGTCCTCGGAGTATTCTGATCCTCTAGAACAGTAGCAATAGGAATCTGAACAACAATAGGCCTCTGAGTTATACTCGAAGTCTTTGAACTGTCACTGACCTTAGTACTGTGCATGCAAGATCGTATATGGAAAGACTGATTCATCATGAATTACATGCCTGGATAAAATCATCTTCCTTGTTTCCACATTGTAGCATACAACACCCTTATATCCCAAAGCATAACCAAGGAAAACACATTGAGCAGACCTTGCTTGCAGTTTATTAGCATTATAAGGTCTAAGAAATGGATATACTGCAGTTCCAAAAACTTTTAAGTTGTGAATATCAGGAACCTTATCAAACAACAGTTGATATGGAGACTTCATTTGTAACACTTTGCTTGGCATTCTATTGATTAAAAACGATGCATATGAACAAGCATGATACCAGAAAGATGGAGACAAGTTTGCTTCAGACATTAAAGTCAATGCTGTTTCTACCAAATGTCTGTGTTTCCTCTCAGAAATGCCATTCTGTTGAGGAGTGTATGGACATGATATTCTATGAACAATCCCTTTTGATTCTAGAAAATCACCAAACACTTTACTCATATACTCTCCTCCTCCATCAGTTTGCAAACATTTAATGGCAGTGTTGAATTGATTGGATACAAAAGCATGGAACTTGATAAATGCAGAAACAGCTTCAGATTTATTAACCAAAGGAAATATCCACAAGAATCTGGAAAACTCATCAATAAAACTGATGTAATATCTATATCCTTCAATTGATACTTTTGGAGAAGGCCCCCATACATCCGAATGTACTCTTTCAAACATAAAAGTAACACTACTTTGTTTTACAGGAAAAGACTGCCTACACATTTTACTGGAAATGCAGGAAGTACATAACATCTGAGAAGAATCTAGACTAACTGGTACTTTGGCTGCTTTTAGCATTGCAGTCAATATTTCTTCAGAAGGGTGGCCCAGCCTCTTATGCCAAATCGCAGTCTTGATCATCTTTCCCACAAAACCAGCCTTTACACCTTGTGTTCCTTTATTCACAGAGCCAGATCTTGAAAACACTGTCACAGGTATTGTAAAGAGTTCCCCATCACTCCTTCCTTGGTAGATTACCACATTGGTTGCCTTGTCCTGTATGAAAAACACAGTATCATCACATATAAACCAGCAGTCATTATCATGACATAATTGCTTTACTGATAAAAGATTCACAGTAATATATGGGACATGTAAAACATTTTTGAGGAATAAACAATGAACCGGAGTAAAAAGGTTAGTAGAACCAATATGCTTCACATCCAAACCTTGACCATTTCCAATGATTATCTTTTCATCTCCAGTGTATGCAGTAGCTTGAGACAAATTATTAAGATTTGCAGTCATATGGTGAGTAGCTCCAGTATCGAGCACCCATATCGAAGCATATAAACCGTGCCCACAAGACGAACACTCTTCATAGATCACCAAACTTCCAGAGAGACTACAGCGGAAACCAAATGATCACCCATGGCGATGATACCATATTAACACTACACTATGAATCTAAGAAGAAGAACAGAACAATCTTTAAGTAAAGCAGCAGAGAAAAGAAAGAGAGAACAAAAGATTGAATGATGATTTGTATATTTCAGAATGTATTGGAATACAAGTCTTAGAGAGAACCTTTCTATTTATACATGCTCATTTCTGTCTTAATCAGTTTCTAACAAACTCATAACCACCTTATATCTTCCTACAATCCCAACTAACTATCTAACTGACAGAATAACAACCTTGCTGATGTGGATTGCTGATGTGGATTGCTGATGTGGTATATCATTCAACATTTCTAATTCATGTTTTTAAGCAGATGGTGTTTTACCGCAATGACGGTGTGCAATCATGTCCATGCATCCTGGTACGGATTCAATGCTAACTACTTCCCCTCCCCTTTTAACAACTAACTAGTTAACCCATTAACACTATTGTTTGTCAAAAACGAAATTTATGTGTAGAACATTTTGCAGTGCATTTCTTACTAACGTAGTCTAAATTCTTGCAAGTGAGTGATCCATGGTCCAAACACACCATAGAGAAACATTCCCACAACACAAGAAGAAGAAATATTGCAAGACTCCCAACTTAAAACTAAGATCCCCCTTTCCTCCTTCGAGAATGGGACATGATCATAAACCGAAATGGGGACTTGAACAAGCATTGTTCAATGATGAAAAAAATTGGCGTCGCATTGGCTAAAGTAGATACGCTCCCCGACACTCGAGCTTGATTCTGATCCTCGCACCGATTTGTACAAAAAGAAAATGGTGAACTCATGGCCGACTCTGTTCGTCTTGGTCCTTCTATCTTGTTATGAAGATGCAAACCAGTCCCTTGTAATGCTCATTAAAAACAGATATCCAAAGACGGGCATAGAAGTAAACGACCTGGATTTGTTTCTATAGAAATCGTCAAACAATGTCAATTACTTTTCTTTGTCCCTTATAAACTACACATACGACATACAAGAATCGGCCCAAAAGAACCCTAGCTTTCGATTTGTGGTCTACCTCATGCAATTGCTAAGAGCATAAGTGTATTTTACATTTTTTTTGTTAGTCGAAAAGCTCTTCAGAATTCAGAAGTTTTGGCTGTAAATTGTAAAGGAGTAACTGTGATAAATGAGGCTTTGTATATCTCCATTGAAGATACTCGAGAAAGAAATACACTTTCATTAAGACAAAACTTTGGCTCCTTCCCTTGAGAAACAGAAATATTCTCGCTCCCCTGCCTTTCATTCATTGTACCTAAAATCCAAACGTCGAAATTGTGTAACAGATAGATTAATTTGAACCTATCAACAACTTAAGCAAAGATTTTTTTCAGTGTGACCGGACACACAGAATGGCACACCACGTGATGGAATGTGTGTTAAAAAAGTTAATAACTTAAAAAATAAAATTTTCCACTTACATAAAAACACAAAGTGTACCACTCGTATTCTCATCACAATGAAAAATTTCTCAAACTTAAGATGGTGAGAAAACATGCACACCCTAGAAATAGGTACTCCTATCTTCCAACAAACAACAATTGGACAAGCATGAAAAAAAAGTGTCTTTTTTGTATTTTAGATAATTACTTGTTCATGTGGTGTAAACTGTAATTTAAAGGAAAAAAATAGAGAGGTACTAGACCCATCCTATTGTCTAATTTTCCCACCCACGTTATAATCCCACCCATCTTAAAAAGTTGAAAAATTAAAATGCTATTTCGCCACCCACTATTATTTCCAAAATAACCTTTAACATATACATACACATGAAATTATAAAACCCTCCTAAAAAAATATAAACAAATAATATATAAAACTAAAATTAAGAAACTGAAACCTGCACATATCAAAATAAAAGAAACATCTGGAGGATGCGGTGCTAGCTTTGCTATTGAGTTTTGTGTTTCTCAAAGCTGTCAAGCATATATGTTGCTTTTTCTTCCAACACGCAATAAAAAATACGGATATGTTGGCCAAATTCTTTTGATGTCTTGAAGTCATAAGTATGCAAATTCAAATAGAAAACCACAGAGGTACCCAAAAGGAAAACTTCGACAACAAATTAAAATATAAGATGCGGCAAATTCAAATAATCTACACAACATATTATTCTTTTACCTCTTCAAAGGAAAAATAAAACGTCAAATTATTCTTTTACCTCTTCAAAGGAAAAATAAAACGTCACCCTCTACTTCTTCAATGGTAAACTGACCTTGGAACCCAACCATTTTTTTAAAACGCAAAAGAGGATAATTAATGTCCTTATCAATCATGGCCAAACAAATTCGAAATCAAAGAACAGCAGATCTGGGGGGATTCGAACCACCAACCTCCCAAAGCCCAGCAAAGGACTCCGAGCGCTCTACCATTTTTGAGCTTACAGATCTTCATTTCAAACATGTCTCGTAATTCAATTGAAGCAACCGAAAAAGCGAATCGATTACCACCAGGCACGGTAGCCTTGAAAACATTTTAGACGACCTTCATTCAGCATTCTGACGTTAAAACCGTCAACAACGAATTATTAGGGTGGTTCTTTCAAGCATTCCCAGAGCAGCACTTGTTCAAAACAAATTTGAATATGATTCAATGTTACTTTATTCCGCACACCTTATATAATTCCATTTTTTATGTACAAATAATATTATCTACGGAGTAGAATTAACACAGAAATATTAAATGGTGAGACGCTTATTTAACTTTCACGCAAACAACTCAAATTCTGCAAGGTAAAAAACACACCATTGAAGTTAGAAAGAAGGTGCTTCTGACCGAAATAGGGTTAACTTTTAGGTAGATGGGGTTATTATGTATCGTTGCTTCCAAATTTGCTGAAAAATCTCTATAAAATGGGAGTGAAAAAAAATTTAACATACCTAAATCAAATACCAGCCTAAAATAAATACATATTTTTTTTATTCAATTCATATGGATTAGAATGATGTACCAGAGACTCGTTTTCTCCACCCATCCTTTCCAAAATCAATAATACCAAAACAAAGATTGAATTATACATAGCAACTGTTTGATAATAAACACTGCCTTTCAGTTTACAATTTTTTATTCACTTTTTTTACGCAACCTAATAACCACCCACAAAATAACATGTCAATTCTCAGCTTTCAACAAAATTAAAACCCAGAAACTGAATCGAGCGAGATTACACAACAGTTGTCAATAACAAAAATGCTTGAATGTACTATAACGGCAATAAGATAATTAAAAAATTATAGTCGTAATATAACACTAGGACACCCACATCGCATAATGAGGTCATACCGTAACTTGAAAATTAAAAACATTAACTCTACGTATGCTCTGTTAAAAATGGCAAAAGAAAGCTAAACTCGTTTCGTTGGTTCACCTCAAAATTCCCACAAACGAACAGCATATAATTCGATTATCTTGCAATTGAAGAGAACCATTCGGGCTTCAGACTTGGCAGATGAGAGAGCACCGGTTAGCCCGGTTGCCAAAATCCTTGGTGCCATCTAATGGTAATACAATCTCCAAATATTGAAGCAAAAGCAGCCAAAGGCAAACAAAATTACAGAGTATTACAAAGTCTCCAAATAATATCAGCTCCAAGAACATGTATTTAACTTGAATTGTAATCAATACCCATAAAAAAATTCAGTATACAACACAAAACTTCAATTCCAAGTTAAGACTGGTAATAAAATTTTCAGCTCATTCCACATAATGTCGTAACTAAGGCACGAGGCAGATTTGGAAAGGATTGTAAGCATATTGCAAATGTGAATTCCAAAAACAACGTAATTTATATTGAATGCGTGCACAAGGACAGGAGTTTCGTAAGCGGATAAGATCGACTACATGGCATATTAATGGGGTACAATTGATGATTGATGCAAGTGTATCGAATCCCATAACAGATGCCTTGAGGCAAAGTCAACACATACTTAACACAATCCAGGATAATTTGGAAAGATATCTGTTAAGTAGAGAGAGTAATTCGAGGATAACATTGTAACTATATATAGGAGTAATGCAAAGTGGACCAATTTTTTAGACTAAATTCATAATAATTCTTCACTTGTAATTGTAATTGAGAGGTCTTTAAGTTCAGTTTTCGCATAAAGCAAACTTGAACCGCACTGAGGCTTGAATCATTCACCAACCCAATAATATCGTTCGTTCAAAAAAAAAAACCAAAACATCAGAAATAAGAACTCCAGTAATAATCCAATCATCAACTACCCATCATATGATTTATGAACTTTAGTCTAAATAGTCGGTCTTCCAGGCATTTTCCTATAGACAGTTAGGGTTTCTTAAACTCCCTTTTACCTAGGAATCAAGTGAAACAGTTTGAATATCATAATTCAGAGAACTGACAAAAAAACATTATTATGCATGTCTACCAATCCTCATGTACCCAGTTACATTGGATTATATCAATCTATAATATTAAGCCCATATTAGATAATTGGACTACAAATACGATTAAACCCACATTAATTTGAAGTAAATTGAGCATGAGGCGAACTAATGGTGCATAATAATTAGGGGTTTTCCGTTTAACTGGGGTTAATATAGTAACAGATGCATATCAATGGAAATAGGCAGTCAGATAATACCTTTGGCGGTGAGATATGCCGTCGTTGATGTGCTGAATCCGTGTTCGAATGCGCAGGCAGTAGAGCTAAAAATAAAACACAGCACAAAAGGAAGGGACACACACAGAGCACACACCACACACCGGAGGGGAGACCCTGGGCCAAAAAACACCCCATGCTGTCTCCCCTTAAAACCAGAACTCTTTGTTTTTTTATTCAGATTTTTTGACCTGCCATGCAAGCGCACCTGCCATGGCAAAGGCCGGATGACAAAGATCGGTCCAGGACTCATCTCTTCCACCGAGCCTTTCGTCCCGACATCTCTTACATCCGTGCAAACCCAAATCCACCCAAAAATACCCCAGCTTTCACCTTCCCCAATCATCATATTACAGTTATAGCTTTCGATTAACCAATATACATGAGTTTGCGCCCTTCAGCCGCAAGGAGAAATCAGATCTGCAGATGTTGAAACGATGTCGATCCAATTGATCTCGGAAATTTCAAGGCTTCGAACCTCCATCGGTGTAAGAGATCGGTATATGCATCTGATCGAAAACAAAATGTAAAATAAAAAAATTTAAAAAAAAAAAGCAATCAGAATCTGTATCAAGCTGATATTCGTTACAGATCCATAAAATTCACCCAAATAATTAAAAAAAAACGCTATGATTAATATCTAGATAACCAAATCGAATCAAAAACACATACGAACCTTTAAAATCTGAATCAAAGAACACAAGCACAAGCTGGTCAAACCAGCAAAACTCCAAAAGCATCTCAAACCATCTTCACAACCCAAAACCACCATCAACGGGTAGATCCGAAGCCGATCTACACGAATCCGGAAGAATCAGACGAAGATAACAATCCATGCAGAGAAGATCTGCAGAAAAAAGAGGAACTATAGAGTTGTGGAGGGAGGGAGAGGGAGGGAGAGAGAGAGAGAGAGAACATATGGTGGCGTTGAAACCTGAATGATTTAGAGCCATCCACCCTAACGTAACTTTTATAATGGGATAAGGGGTGCGATGGACGGTTGAGCTTGATTTCGCATCTTTGAAATCGACGAATAGTATGGGATGTCGTGTTTGGTGGTTCATGACCTGGACGTTACCATCCAAGACACGTTATTTTGCCGCTTAGTGGGGGAGGACAAGTGGTGGGACCATGGCTTTTCTTCTTTGTTTGGGAATCCGATACGCGTTTATAGTTGTTTTACCGGAATTATGGTTACCCTCCCAATTTCTTAATTAATAATTCGCATCTAGAATCTCATTCTCTGACCAGAAAAAGAAGGTATTGGGCCATTCGCACTTATTCCTTTTACTTCAGAGCATTTCGATGATATGGCCATACTCAAACAAGCCCAGACTGGGGATGGACTTTGGGCTTAACTTTATGTTATACTTCACGGCCCCGATTGTTAGACGGTCTTAAGCTGGAATTGTCTTATGAATGGTTTGGGAGCTAGGTGCTTAAAAAAAAAACACACCCATGAAAAAAAGTTGTGAGGGTTTTAGGTGTTTGGTAAACTAAAAAAAAGAGGCTTATTTTGGAAGCTGCTGTGAGAATAAGCTGAAATCAAAGGAAAAAGCTGAAGCAGCTTTGGAAAACTGGCTTTTTTTCAAAGCACACGAAGCTACAGTGCTCATTTAATGAAAAGACCCACTATCAGACTGCTTTTTTTTTTCAAAAGTACTTTTACAAAAAAGCTTACCAAACACTCTACTGATTTATTTCACAGCCGCTTATTCTCACAGCAGTTTTTTTTCAAAGCATATCAATACCAAACTAGCCCTTAGGCCATTTCTGCTGGCTATACGGTTTATAGGTCAAATGATAAGTTTTTTTTTTAACACAAAACTCATCTTTAAAGGAGGTCTAGGCCGAAAAATCTTGGGATCCATCGGGCCAAAATCTAGTTATATGGCCAGTGGACTGGGCATAGCCAACCAGTTCAATTGGGACCAACTGGGGTTTTTTTTTTTAAGGTGTAATTAAAAATTTTAATTTTCTTCCTATAAGTACGTAAGAAATTTTTGCACAATTTCTCACATCTTTTTCACATTTTCATACTATCTTACCTTATTGTGTTTCAATCCTTCCCATTCTATTCACCTCAAACACTCTTTTCATACACACCAGTCTCTTACCTCTTCTAATACTCTTTCCTTTAATTTTTTTAATAATTTTCAAATGGCAACATTTTCAAGTGACACTCAAAATATGTCTGGAAGCTTATTCATTTAGCCACAAGTGGCATTCAATATATCCAGAAATCTTAATTTAATATGGTAGTTTAATTCAATTAGCCAATAAAATTATAGAACAAACTTAAAAAAATAAATAATTGTGGGGGCCAAAAAATAGTCCCCTTCAGTTTGAGATTGTATATAAATATAGTATGGCACTGTTCATTAAAAAATAATTTCTTGCAAGGCTGTAATTTGGACGGATGCTAAACATAGCCCATTTAGTTGGAGATGGCCTTAGGATTACTATTCGGTGTTTGGAGTGAGCTCGAACTGAATTTAATGAGACTAAGTCGAACTCGTCTTATAATAATGCGAAACCTCGTACTACATAAAAATGACCTAAGGCCAACAAATAAGAAAAAAGGGTTTTAGTTGTGTACTTCGTCCTAGAAGCCGTGGTTGCTTTGAATTCGTATTGCATACTTATTTTCGAAACTTTAAACGTTAAAGAAGCGGAAAAATAAACTTTAAAGTAAAAAGACCAAATGCCCATATATGTTTTCTCGTTTACAATTTTATTTGACTTGCATATTTTTGTGATTAAAATGTCCTACGACTTGTCTCCTATCTAGCTAAAATTATGATTGTTGTTGAGAATTTATTTCGTTGTTTTGGGAAGGTTCAAGATCAATAATGACTAAATCGCCCTAGCTTTCATCCTTAAGTTGAAATAGAAGATCCTACGCTGGATATTATGCAAGAGATCAGCATATAAATATCAGCTTAAAATGGCCAGTTGCACCCTCCTTAAATGGTTTAATCATCACCCATCAACTCAAAACTAACTTGGTTCCCTTACTAACTAGTTAGTAAGAAATTGTTAGTTCTTATCAAACTAGGTTTCAAGCTATAAACATATGCCTCTAGATCACCTGATTTCAAGCTTTAAGAACTAGAAAAACTAGCTTTGAACAATGGGTTGATCACCAAATTCTCTCAAACACTTCAATTACGTTAAAGAAGTTGCATCTTTCCATTTGGAGTTTTTTTTTTTTTTTTTTTTTTTTTTTGAAACAATGAATGGATCAAGGACTCGTGAACTTTCCTTTCTTGAGCATTTTCAGCAAGTACTTGAACGCTTAATTATATTTCCAAGTCTGAATAACTAAGATGGTGGTGAGGACAAATCTGATCACTCAAGACGGTGCAAACACCAAATCATGTTGCCTAGGGCGACGTAACCGTAAAATTCGGTCAACCAAAGACGTTCAGTCATCCAATCTAAGGGCATAAGTTGACGCATCCACAAAACAGTTTGGTAAGGTTATTGCCGCAGGGGTTTCAAGCGTAAAGAGGTGGATCTCATCTAAGTCACTAACAACTAAGAACCACCCCAAATTCAAAATCTAGCTCCAAATCAAAAGACAACGACTTGAGAGAAGGAAAAATGCCAACTTTGCGGTAGACACTCCAAAAAAGCCATAGAAAAATGGTTGGCCTAAAAAAAGTAAGGGACAGCAAGTGCTGGGTAGCACCTTGGAAGGAAGATGAATGGAAATTGCCTAAGAGAAAACGAAAAGAGTGGAGGAAGGCGGTGTTGACAGTTGTCCCAGATTGATGAGGGACAATGTTTGCTATATGCTTATATGGTCTTGGGCTACTTTCCATATTGCTAATTAATTTTGTGGTAGAATCTCAATTTCATCATGGTATCAGAACGTGTTGTCCTCGTATGAAGTCAAACGGCCACACGAGCTTGTTGTCCATGTGTAGACTTGAAAATCCGCCACACATGCAGGGCGTCTTGACAGTTGTCCCACATCGGTGAGGGACAAAGTTTGTTATGTGCTTATATGGTCACGTGTAGACTTGAAAATCCGTCACACATGCAGGGGCATCTTGACAGTTGTTCCACATCGGTTAGGACAAGATTTACTATGTGCTTATATAGTCTTGAACTACTTCCCATATTATTTCCGATGGAACCTCAATTTCATCATGCGGCCGTGGGAATGGAGAGTGGAGGGGGCAGTAAAGGGGCTAGGAGGATGGGGAAGAGGTTCGGAGGAGATGTGAGGCTGCTGCCAATAACTCCCCCTCTGGTCGCCCCGCTTGGCTCCTTTACTACATCATCATCCATGTTGATGCACCACAAAAGGTCCTACTTGCCGATCGGAAAGAAGCAGGAGCATTGTGAGAAATTTAGTGCAGATCTGGGTGGATTTGAACCACCAACCTCTCAAGGACCAGAAAGGACTTGAGCGCTCTACCATTTTTGAGCTTACAGATCTTTATTGCATACAATGCATTCTCCATTCAAACCCTAACAGAAGTCTGATATTCGATCTATCAAATTCAAAACTCAGAACCAAAGGGCTTGTATGCGAAACCACCATCACTAGGGTTTGCCCTCTGTAACAATTTCAATCTCATTTTCAACAACAAATATAAAAGATAAACAAACACTTATCAACAGTGGCTTCAAAGACGAATGCCAAGGAAGACATCCTTCAAAGACTGAGCATGACGTTTAAACTAACATATTCAAAATCAAAACCAACAAATGGAACTCTACTGCCAAAAAAGAACTACAAATTACATATAGTTCCGCCGACTACATTCACATCAACTAAACCTGTATCTTCCAAACAAAATAACTCCAATTCCTCCAAAATTCAATAGAAAAAAATTAGGGGCAAAGTATTCAAACATAACTCCGACATGAATAAGATAATTAAATACATAATACTGATCGCCAAATGTGAAATAATCTTTGTAACGACTCGTTGTGAGGACTTGCAATAACTTTTACAACAAAAGGAATGTGAAGCTCAACTTGTATCATTGCACCTCAAAACTTCACATAGAGATTGCAGGGCAACGGAATTAGAATTTCCGCATGACCAAGCAGCTTTTATTTGAGCAGAAACATCATTGGGGCTCGTAAAAAAAACAGAGCTTCCAGCAGACACTCCCTTGCAACAAACTACGGGAATACATCGATGGCCGCATCAATAGCAGCCAAAAGCATTATTACATGATATTACAACCAGATCCCAGAATATAACATAACATCCGTTGTGATCAAATTATGAAAGAATAACATAACACTGTTGCATTCTCATTTAATAAAATTTGTAGTAGCTTCGTAACGAGGCAACAATTACTGCACACGTCTGGAATTTGCCTGTTAATATGACTTGCAAAAGAAATAAATTTGATGCGCCGATGGCCATCTTTGTAAACATACATGATTAACGATATATATGCAACTATGAACCATCACAACTTGAGCACGAAACTAATTAATTATGACTTAACTGTGCAAATAGATTTAGTTAGATTAATACCTTTGGCGACGAGATTTCGAGGTTGTTGCTGTTGCCAACAATCCATGTTCGACTGGTATGCATGTGGCAAGAGAGCAAAAATAAAACAGGGAGAACGAAAAGGCAAAAAGCACACACCACACACCGGAGGGGAGACCTGGGGAGAAAAAAACTCATGCCGTCTCCCCTCCAAACCAAAAAATTGTTACTTTTTATTGCGATATGTTTTTTGACCTGCCATGCAAGCGCACCTGTCATGGCAAAGATCGGTCCAGGACTCGGCCCTTTCTCTGAACCTTTCGTCCCGACATCTTATACATCCGATACATAACCTATCCCCACTCCCCAAATCCCCCAGCCTTCAGCTTCCCACTCGTCAAATTACATTCATGCCCTTGGATTTACGAATGTGCGTCACTCACAGCACCATTAACTACCAGAGAATCGGTTCTGCAGAGGCTGAAACGACGCTGGAATCAAGCTCGGAAACGTCAAGGCCTGAAACCTCCTTGAATTCGACAACAGCTCCTTGGCCATATCTGATTGGATTAACAATCACGGAGCAATCAGAAACTGTAGGGAACTACTGAATCAATTGAGCTTGGAGATTTACAAATCGATAGCATATCAAGATAAGAAAAACGAATGGAAATCACATACGAACCTGTAAATCTGAATCGAACATCGAAGAACAACAAATCGAGCTGGTTTTAACTAGCTATTCAATTCAACAGCAGCGCAAAACATCTTCACAACCTAAAACCGGCATCGATATACGGATCTCTAATCAATCTACCAGAATTCAAAAGAAATCGAAAGAGAAAGCAATCAATGCAGACTGGATTTGCAGGAGTAGAACTACTCTGGAGGACCAATAGAATTGTGAACAGAGAAAGAGAGAGAGAGACATTGAAGCCGTTGAATGGTTTTAGATTCACACAGCCTAACGTAATTTATAGTAGGAGATGGGATGCTATGGACGGTTAGGATTGAATTTCTGTCTTTGAAATCGAAGGCTGATATGGGAAGGGTGGTACCGGTTACCAACCAGGACACATTAATTTGCCGCTTTCGTAGGTGGAGTGGGAATCCAGCACATGTGCGTATTAGTCTTGTACTATAATTAGGATTCACCCGCGCCAATTTTCTCAAGAGATGTTTATTCAGAAAAAACTGTTTATTTTAACGAAAAATTATATTTTTACATTAAAAAGTAATCATAATACTATTTACTTTACCCAAAATTTTCAAATTTTCATATTAATTTTCCTTTTTCTTAATCATGCTTCTAGAATATTGTATTTGCCACAAAAAGGCTGGCAATATTCAAAAAGTAAATAATCTAGTTCCAATCGGGACATGTTTACGTATAAAGATACTTGAGCTGCCTAAATCGGTGTAACAACCAAAGTACTAGTTTGGTATTAAAATGATTTTATAAAAAGTGGATAATAAAAAAAATTGAGCTTAAAATAATGTTTATTAAACATTTAAAATATCTTATTTTCATAATTTTGGAAAAAAAAAAAAAAAAAAAACCTGAAAATGTGTAGCAGCTAGAAAAAATATTGAAACACTTTTAAATGTTTTTCCAAGATATTTTTATTAAAAATTAGTAACAAAAACATTTCACTAAAAGTTATTTCAACTATTTTCAGAACTCTTCCGGACAATTATTTTCCCAACCCTTTAGAGTAAATATAATTTTGCATCAAAAAGTAAAAGCAAAAAAAGAGACCGAAAAAAGGAAACAGAAGGCAAACCTAAACCCCTCACCCGACATAACCAAACCATCTAATGGTCAATTCAGAGCAGATCTGGATGGATTCGAACCACCAACCTCTCATAAGCCCAGTCAAGGACCCTGAGCGCTCTACCATTTTTGAGCTTACAGATCTTCGTTTCAACTGACGAGGCAAAATGAGAAACACCATCAACAAAGTTTTCACACCTAGTTTTTCAGTTTCTTCTTTCCAATAACAAGCTTCCAGTACATCCTAATTACCTGTCAACTCACGTTTAGCAAAAGGGCGATGTCTGTTTGAATGGGGATTGAATTTAACTCGAATGAAGGAGAATTAAGCTAAGCCCCGCAATTAACCAACAATAACAGTGTAACAATGTAAATATTACACATACTTGCCATCCATATGAGTTGAATGCCTCTAGACCGGGAGTTAAATACCACTAGACCGGGACACTCGTCGATCTCTAAACCCTGATCCAAACTTGTAAACTACAAAGCAGAGCAACAGTCACACAATTATTCCACAGCCCAGGAACAAAACAACCTACACCTTCTCATGCAACCCTAAACAGCATCCAACTTGTCCAAATTCACAACGCCGCTGTTTCTTTTTTTTTGGGGGGGGGGGAATATTCTATCTCAACTTAACAAATGAACAGAATAAATAAATGACAATGCTAATGGCCACATGAAATAATCCTCGCAGTGGATTCAATCACAAAATTAGGGGTGAAATATTCTATCTAAACTGAACAAATGAACAGAATAAATAAATGATAATGGGCACATGAAATAATCCTCACAATGGATTCAATCACATAAGGTAAATTAACTGAAAATATTACTTGCTGAGATTTAAAACTTCAAAGACAAAAGATTGTGAAGCTCAACTCGTTTCCTTGGTCATCTCAAGTTCTGGGAAAAGAGACTGCAATGTAACGAAATTTGGATCTTCCCCACGACCACACAGCTTGTTTTTGAGTAGAAATTCCATTAACTTGTAAATGATATGAGAGACTTCATTCTGGCTATTATGAATCCTTGAGAAGAGACCTTCCGGCAGCCAACTTCCCTAGAATCGTCTAATTTGAATACAAGGCATGGCTTGCAACAATGGCAGCCAAAGCAACATAATTACATGATATTACAAAGAGCCACGCATTAACAGACCTCAAAATATCTAGCAACATCCATTGAGATCAAACAATAACAAAATAGGCACTTCAGGGTATATGATAACACAATCCTACTCTCAGCTCATAGAATTCGTAAGTACAATAATATCGAGGCAATAATCAGTGCATAATGGTAACTTTAAAAAGTAAGCCGGATAGATTTTGGAAGCGGGAATTGTTCAAGTAGTATGATAGAATGTGTAGAGTGTGGCATAAGTAGATTGTAAAATTACCAAGTAATTATTGGTCATGATTTGGATCTTTCAATTACAAAGTTCTTTTTCTGGATCAAATACTGTAATTTGTACTCAACAATAAATATAGATTAAATAACTTAATTTAGCTTTAAAACAATTACAGGTGCTTTTTTTCTGGATTAAATAACTCAGTTTACCTTCAAAATAAAGGAGTTGATTGAAGAACTCCACAATTAGCAAACTGAAAAATTATTATTATTCTTTCTATCAATCCCTAAGCTCCAAGAATTATAGGTTATATCGATTGAAGGCTTCATAGTGTATACAAAATTAGATTAATCCCACATGTGAGAATGAGACCTAATTAATCGTGCACGTGATTATATGTTTCCTGTGCAAATCAATTGAAATAGGCTGTCAGATAATACCTTTGGAGGCGAGATATCGATGCATTTGTAGTTGTCCGGAATCCATGTCCGACTGTTTGCAGTTGGCGGCAAGCAAAATTGAAACATGGAACAAAAAGACAAAGACAGAGAGCGCACACCACACCGGAGGAGAGACCCTGGGCAAAACAAACCCATGCTGTCTCCCCTCAAAACCAAAAATTCGTTATTTTTTATTGAGATATTTTTTTGACCCGCCATGCAAGCGCACCTGTCATGGCAAAGGTCGGATGACAAAGATCGGTCCAGGACTCGGCCCTTCCACCGAGCCTTTCGTCCCGATATCTTATACATCCATCCAATTCAACCAATACTCCCAACCCAAAACCCCCACAATCTTCCGGCTACACTCATGAAATTACAATCATGACCCTCGATCAAGATTACATGTGAATCGTCTGATAGATGTTCTTCAGCCACCAGGAGATCAGCAGCTGAAACGATGTCGCGTCCTTCTGATATGGTTAGATCTCCGTCTGCGAAATCTGTTTGGATACAAAAACATACATCAATCAAAATCTGTACGACAGCAGCAAAAAGGCAAATACAATAACGACTTCATACATAAATTCATAACCAGATCAGTAAAACGAATCAAAAACATATATGAACCTGTAAATCCGAATCGAAGATCGGCGAACACAGAAGCTCGCGCTGGTGAAAGCAGCTGAATTCAAAAGCAGCTCAATCCATCACCTCACAATCTCAAACCACCGTCAACGCGTAGATCTCTAGACGATCGACGCGAATCCGATGGAATCGACAGCGAAAACAATCCATGGAGCGTAAATCTGGAGAAGAGGTCGGGAGTTGGGGGGGGGGGTGGAGAGAAGATTTGGTGGCGTTGAATCTTGAATGGTTGATAAGCAGGCACCCTAACCTACATTTATAAGAGGATAAATGGACACGAACGGTTGAGATTGTTTTCTTATCATTGTGATCAACGGCTGGTATTGATGGGTTCGGTGGATTTGGCGGTGGGGAAATCACGGAGAAAACATTGCGTTATTGCAAAGCACGTTCCTCGTTATTGACCTTATCAAACACGACATGTAGTTTATTTGGCCGCATCGAATGGTTATTTCGGTTCTAGATTATTCGACATATCTGGGCTGGTGGGTTTTGTTCTTTGGGCCTTCAGAGGCTGATATGGACCAAGCCCCAAATTACAGGCCTTGCGTATTTGCAACACCTATTCACCAAATTTTGATATCCGGACACCCACAATTTTATTTTTTTTTAAGTTTAATAACATTATTGAGAACTGGGGTTTAGATTTACAGTTTTTGGAGAAGATGGATGGTCGTGAAACTATTTTATTTTTTGTCTATTTTTAATCTAGGGTCAAGTTTGAAATATTATAAGAAGTGTGCTATCCACACACCCCATTTTACTTCTCACACACCCCTTGATAATTTCTGTCCGTTGATCTTCTTTACTTCATCCCATCCGACGGCCGAAAATTAAAAAGGTGTGTGAGAAGTAAAATGAGGTGTGTAGATATCACACCCCTATTATAAATTAAAGTTGGGTGTCCAAAGAAAAAAGTGAATTTTAGTAGGGTGTCCAAAGAAATAGAATGTCTAGAGATAACAACGAGTGGAAACATAGCTACTCTTTCATGAATGACTAGTAACCTAATTAGGTGTAAATGTAACTATGACTAATTTATTGTGTGACTTACGTAAGTATGACCTGTTTCCAATGCTCTTGTGTTGGTTTGTGATGAAATGCTGGTTTTTGGATGTCTACTTGACCTTCTTTTTTCCTAAAAGGCTGCTTGTTCTTGCCACTTAATACTACAATGTATTAGTATTCATCTTCCCTTATAAGTGAAAAGTATCCAATTTGATTCTCGCCAATACTGAATTTAAACTAAAATATTATGGCTAACCCATTGTAAGGTTTAGTCAACTCCCTCGCTCCTCAACGTAAATAATATTGTATGTATTCAAATAAGCCTCTGTCCCTAGTTTGTTTATACTTAGTTCCCTTAGGTTTTGTGATTTTGGTCTTGCTGGCTTTGCTTGGGTCGGGCTTGTTCCTTGGGCCATAAGAAACTCTGGTTGGTTTCGGTCCTTTCTGGTTAATAGTTGTAAGAGCATTAACAGTTCAATCCAATTTGAAATAACCGGTCCAATTCAACTTTTATCAACTTTTATGACTCTCTTGAATTGAATTGAATTTGGATAGTTGACGGATTTTGATTTTGAGGTTCCATGCCAACCTATCCGTTAGTTTTGATGGTTCTTCTCCTCTCATGGGCATTTGAGTTTACCGCTTTTAGCATTCAATTTTTTAAGGTTTACGTAGCTTTAAAATGCTTGATATGACTAGGTTTCACGAATCAAACCAGGATGACGGCGTGGTTCAAACTTCGTTGGTGGCTAATCTAATAAAATCTATCATTTGACCAAAAAAAAAACAAGGATGTAAAGTTCACACTTCACAATCCAATCTATGTTGGATTAGATGACTCGGTTTTAACACACAAATTATGATGTTAATCCAAATGAAAGATCGTTACCAAAAAGAACTATAGTTTAATCACTCAAATTAAGCGTCCATGCGCTCTTGATGATGAACATGTATAACAAAAATTTAAATAAATAAAACTTAAAAAGTGAAAAGGAATTATATAAAAAGCCACTTATCCACAGTCATTATGCACAGACATTAGGGTATTGGCATCGGGTGCTTAATTAGTTTGTAGATGCGTTGGGCTGGGTCTGGCATCGCCCTTTCTCCTTCTCCTTAACTTCACTTCCCTGCGTCTTGTCATATGCCGGGTGGTTCGCATGGATCAGCTGGTCCTGCTCCGTCTTCGGAAGAGTCTGGTTGTCTGAAAACACCCCTCCAAATCCTTCGTCATCAGACCTCGTCGCATACCCTTCCCCAAATGATTGGGACATCACATCTCTAAATACGAACGTACACAAACTAATAACATTTAGCTACTAATCATAAACAAAACTCTTTTTCAACTGTTTAGCAACATAAACTGCTTACGTTGTAGACTGTCAATTTTCATAATAGTCTTCATGATGAATCTATCTGTGGATTCCAACAAAAGTTAAAAACCGGGTCGAACTTTACATTAATCAGGTTGAATTTTTGCATGAATGTACATCTAAAACCATGAAAAATATATGATGTATCAAAAAATAAGTCTGCTTGAAAGTGCTTTTAGAATAGTTAAAAACACTCTTAAATCACAAAAAACAAACTTTTACGACACTGTTTGGCCAAGAAAGTATTTGTGGTTCTTTCGGTTGGCAAGTCAGTGAAAAACGTTTCGTCAAGAACCACTTGATTTCTTATCATGAGTCCCGGACTATTGCTTATAACATCGATTTGAACAAAAGCGCTTATGAACAAAACTATATGAATGAAAACACATTCGAAAAAGAATTCATCCTCAAGTATGACTAGATACTATTACCCGCGCACAAAAACTGGAAAGTTTTGAATTCATGAAGCAACGAGCGACTAACCCGGTTTTCTGATTGGGGCCTTGTGCCTTGTCCATACTGTGTTTACTATCTGGATCACTGGAAATAGTTGTGCCTTAATCCGACCCGGAAGCAATTCGACCCAAGTTCGTCGGCGCTGAGGATTGGGTTCTGAGTGATTATACTGCATGAATCATCTTTTGCATTCTTGCAGGACTTTACAACTTCCTATAAATACATGAAAGGAAAATTCACCACGATGAACCAGTAAATATATACGGGTGAGAAATAGTGGAAGTCCTCGATTAGGAATAGCAGTATGTCCGGTTCTATGGGACGCAGATCCATTTCACGCCATAACACAATTACAAATAAATGGATAGTTGTGAATAATGGGACACCATACACTCCACATTCTAATTACAGACTCCAAACTGTCCTTTTCTGGTTCAGTCACTTACCCGCGCGATACACCATTAGGTCAACCAGAACCTAATAATTGAAAATTAGTAATTTTAAGATGTAACCGTTCACTTGATTTTTAACTATCATTGAGTATTTACAATGAAGTATAATCGACCAGCCATGTGGTGTTACCATTTTTTTTTTTTAAGATATCAATTCCTCGACCAACCATGTGTGTGGAGCTAAAAATAATCAAGAAAAATATGAAGACGACACGTGTCCACTTCTGGGGTTAAAAAGACAAATTACTCTTGAGGCATACCGGGACTCTCACGCGCATGCAACGGACAATAACAGCTCAATTAAGGTCAAAGGTGATCAAAATGATATTTATTCAAAACTCTCTCATCACTCCTCATCAAATTCTCTCCCACAAGATACGTCCCAATTATTCTTTTGAAATTGGGATTAATTACCAAAATTGATTGATTAATTACCTAATTGATTGTAAGATATTATTTGGCATAATTGATTATAAGATATTATTTGGCATAATATCTTGCAATTAGAGCCAAATTTCCACCATAAGTGGCCGACCGCTATTTCTCCAAATAAGGCCAGCCACACCCCTATATATAGCCCCTCATTTCCCAAAAAATCTAAGTCCATTCTTTCCCTAAAATTCTCTAAACATTTTCTCTCTCAAATTTTTACTTTGGCACATGAGATTCTTCAACCAAAGCCCCACCCATTCATCATGGGCGCGTGAGGCTGTTGGTCTTGATCTTAGGTGTTATTGTTTTGCAAGTGCATTTTCATCAAAGGAGAAGAAGAAGGAAATTTGCATCCACAAATTGGTGCTTTCATTGAGAGTTTGATTCACATGCTCGAAGAAGACTCTCGGATTCAAAGTTTCTCATTTCTTGTTCATTTGTTTTTTGTACGTTCTTATTCCTAGAATTTTTTATAAAGTTCTTTAAATAAACATAAAAGAAAAGTACAACGACTAGAAATTCGAAAACCACAACGAACGAAACTTCCTACGTTCAAAGATTTGGACCAAGTGATGGAGATCAAGGCATAGCCCCACCACGACGATCCACGAGTGGAGCGACACCACTTACACGAGGCACCACCGTGGCAGCCACCACGGTAGCAACCCAAACTGGTCCAAGATCGGTTCAACTGTCCCGGCGTCAGATTTTTTGACCGACGATTGAACTGGGGGTATTTTCACCCTATTTCTCTGCAAATTTAACATATCTCAACTTAAATCTCGCGCTCATAGTCCATTACATTTCCATTACTCAAGGAGACGCATACCGTCCTAGCTCTTCCAACCCAAATGGCGAACAACACTTGCCTCGACAAGTCATAGAGTTGATAAGCGCCATCGCGTAACAGACGACCATCGTGAATCAATTCTTGTAGCTTACCGAGATGCAGCGTGCCCTAGACGAGGTGTCCCAAAGTAAGATAAGGGTAGATGAGGAACCTCTCCAGCAGCGTCTCGGCAAGCAGTCACTCGATCAGTCATGAACCGATCATTCTGGTAGTGTACACTCCCAACTGTGCCCTTGAGATAGCGTATACTCTCGTCGTAATGCATGGATGAGTGTGCACTCTCGGTTAAGGCCACGGACAAGCATACACTCATAGTTAGGGCCACACTCCAATAATCAACACGAACAACCTTCCAGGCGAAATGTTCATTCCCGGCAAGGCCTACAAAGAGCATCATTCTACTCACATCCGAGAAAGTAACTCGACGGACGGAGAGAAGCAGTCACTCAATTCAGCTCAAGTTTAACTGGCAGCTTGCGAAAAGTTTACTCATCTGCAAGAAACGTACCACATGCACCGTAATTGCGGCATAGACGAGCCGAACACATAGAAGAGCAGCCTAGACCAGCAGGTTATGACCAAGGGCAGCCGAGAGTTCCGCTACCTCAACAAAGGTAAATTCATGAATAAGTAGAGAGGTTCCTGACCGAGCGATTACGCGATTTCCAACATAACATGGTCATTGACGAGGCACTATAACGGGATATGACCAACATAAGCAAGTCACATTTCACAGACGAGATCGAGCAGGCAGAGCCTCCACGCAAGTTTAGCATACCACATTTCACATCCTTTAAATGGGATGAAAACCTGGAGAGACACACCTAAAGCACTACCGAAGCGCAATGATCCTCTATCAGAACAACAACGCTCTCATGTGTAAGATTGGTTCCACACCCTACTACCATAATCTATCGCTCGATCAAGAAGAAGTCCGACCATTTGTTCAACATCAAGAATGACCCAAATGAGTCGCTTCGCGACTATGTGAAAAGGTTTAAAGCAAAAAAGGCAAGGATAGTCAGAGTAACGACTTAATAGCTAATGCAGCCTTCCAAAAAGCACTCCCAGTAGACCATCCGATGTTCAGAGAATTGATCATGATAGAAGATCTAACTCTGGCAGACTCTTTCACTCTAGCAGAGAAGCATGCACTTTGGGACGAGGTTCACCGATGCACATTCAAGCCAAGTTCGAGCGATCTTGAATATGAAGTCCTTCACTACTCTGAAAGATTCGAGGTCTGACCAAACGATGACCTATTCACATGTTTGACAGTATCTAAAGCAACAATAAGCTCTACCCTCATACGAGAAGAGCTAGGGGCCTCGACTACTTGTATTCCACAGTTCAAAAGTTCTCCTCGATACGGAAACCGGCTACCAAAAATTCAAAAGCTAACTTTGGCGACAGTTGTTGCAACCTGGAAGCTCAAGTTAGATGCACACAATCATCCTCATAACGCATTATTCCGCCCAATCCAAACGCACGACGATAAAGACGCAGACACTAGCGAATGCAACAACTCAGCCCAAAAGGCACTCTAAAGGTAGACGAACACTAGAATGACACACTTAGAAGCAAGTTTTGTCCCCGTCGCCCTACAAGATTCAACAAAGGAGCAACATGTACCGGCAATTAAGCACCACCTCCTGCTGCGCGTCACACGGTCCCAGCGGACCCTTGCTCCATAATTCAACTTTAGAGTGGCCCAATACTAGTAGTTAAGCATTTCCTGATATGTGTAACATAGCCCCAGCTCAACGGTTCCCCACCACGTCTTCATGCCTAGCCTAGGCAGTGCAACAGAGCAACCCAACGATGCCTCAGAGGCAACCGAGCACGCCCTAGTCACGCTTGCTTCACCCAATGAAGACTTCTAGCATTTGCACGTCGACGACACATTCAACTACAAAGGCTCGAAAGCAGGCGTGGTCTTTGTCACCCTAGACGGTTCAATGCTCGAGCATGCAATCACTCTAGGCTTCAAATAGTAAAAAACTTGGCGGTGAAAAAGTTTGCAATTCATTCTGATTCCCAGCTAATCACTAGCTAGACTATTAGGGAGTACATGGCAAAACATTCGAAGATGACGCAATACCTAGAAAAGGTATGAAAGCAACTCGAGGCATTTTATACTTACACCCTCACTCAAGTTCCATGAACATACAATGCCCACGCGAACGCGCTAGTAGGCCTAGGCTCCGCCCTCGACCATCAACTCAAACGCTCTATTCTGGTGAAGTATCTAGACAAGCCAACCATATAGGATGAGCAAGGAGCTGAGGTGTCACATGTTAATACAACTCTAAACTGGTAAGATTCCATTATAAAATACCTGGTCAATGGTACACTCCCCATGGAAAGATTGGAGTTTAGAAAGCTACAAACAAAAACAGCATGTTACTACATGTAAAACGACATTCTCATCCGAATATCCTACACTAAACCATATCTCCGTTGCCTAGTGACTTCCGATGACCTAAAGGTTCTAATCTTAATCCATAAAGGCGTTTGTGGAAATCACTCTGGGGGCTGATTCTTAGTATAGAAGACTCTTAACGTAAGCTAATATTGGCCTACTATGCATCAAGATGCTAAGGAGTTAGTACAAAAGTGCGACTACTACCAACACTACAAGTCTGTATCAGCACTGCCTGCCAGAGAACTACACCCGCAGACGAGTCATTGGTCATTCATAAAGTGGGCAATCGACTTGGTAGGGCCAATACCGCCCGTTACTAGAGGCATAGACATGATGATCATGGCAACTGACTACTTCACCAAGTAGATGGAAATATAGCCCATGACAACCCCAACTAAGATGGACATATAACGCTTCATATGGAGGAACATCATTTACCGATTTGGCATCCCTCAATCCATCGTCATAGACAACGGCCCGCAATTCGTAGGCAAAGATATGGAGAAGTTTTTTTGGAAATATGGCATCAAACAGCACATATCCACGCCGAGGTATCCCCAAGGTAATGGGTAGGCCGAAGCATAAAATAAAAAATTCTTGACTGCCTCAAGAAATCCCTCTCCGACAAGAAGAGAAAATGGCCAGACGAGCTTCCTGGATGTCTGCGGGCATATCACACGACCAAACGATGAGCAACCAGTAAAACTTCTTTCTCTTTGGTATTTGGTTCAGAAGCAATCATTCCTCCCAATGTCATTGTGCCAAGTGTCAGCACTTTACTGCCAAGCATCAAGCAGAACAGAAGGGAGATGGACACAAACTTAGATATGGCAGAGGAGAAACACGAGAAGGTCATTACTGCATCGTAGCATACCAATAGCAGTTCCTCTTCAGCTACAATAAAAATACTAAAATCCGACAGTTCCAACCTACAGATCTAGTCCTAAGAAAAACCTTCATCATTGCCCACACAGAATACCCCAAAAAGATGGAACACCTACAATCTGGGGAAGTACCATGCGTGACCTCCTACTACATCAGAGCCTGAAGACTGAAGCAGCTTGACGGGCACCACCTTACAAAC